TGTGACCCCACCAAAGGATGGCTTTCGGAGCGAGGTGGTCTAAATTCTAGACGCGTTTTGCGTTTAAGAGCAGCTAAATGGGACTCGGACTGAGCGTGTGACCCCACAAATAGATTGCTCTCCGAGCGAGGCGCCTTAAATTCTGGACGCACTTAGAGCTCCAGAGTAGCTAAATAGGACTTGGTCCGAGCGTGTGACCCCACCAATGGATTGCTCTCCACGAGCGAGGAATCCGTGGGGTCACACGCTCGGTTTGAGTCCCATTTAGCTCCATGGAGCTCAAAACGCGTCCTGAGTTTTGGCCGCTTCCACCGGTTTTCTGGCTCACTGTGTGCTGTGCAGTCTATCGAGTTTAGCTCGGCTTGGGGAACGTAAATGCGCCATGGTCACATGCGAACACGGATTTTGTCTGTCTCTCTCGCACGGGGCGTGTTACTTTGGAGCGAGAGAGACAGCGCTACAACACGGTGTGCGGTTTCACTGTATCGCACTGATTTATTTCCATTTTCAGGTAAACCAGCCACGCGGCGACTACAAGAGGCTGCTGAGGTTGTCGTTGGCGGTGCTGGGCGCAAGGTCGCATGATTTTGGAGAACTGGGAGCCGTGTCTGACGCCCGATTCATGGGCAAATGCAATCTGAGCATTACGGCTTATATGTTTCGGAGTCAGTTCAAGTTAAGCAAGGCTCAGCTGGCTGGCCTGGAACGACTATGCTTGTTTGTTGTGAGAGTCTACATCCATTCCTGGTTTACCTCCCAAGTGCCAGCATGGGCTCCGGCCAACACCTTGCAATTTGTGCGAGCGATAACGGTGAGTCTTAAACTACTATTTTATCGCACTTAAGACGTGCCCATCCCTTATAACATATTTTTGTTCCATGTTTAGTCGTATGAAGATGAGAAGATCAGCGAAACTGCGGGGGCGGCCATAGGGCGGCATCTGTGGTACATCAGTGAACTTCTCGTAATGATGGCGCTGTTTGACGAGCGACTTCCGAACGCAGAGAAGGCTGCTATGGCGAGGGCTGTGCAGGTGGGTAGAATAATTTCTTTACATCGATGCGCTTTTGCAACTGAAACATTAAACTTCCCTTGTTCCGTTGTGAATTCAGGTCAATCCTGGGAACGGCTGGCCGTTACCACGGGTGCCTCTAACCCGCGGGCTGACCATCAAGGACGTAGGACAGCGGCGTCTAGCGGACTTCGTGACAACAGAATCCCTGGGATTCTTTGACATCACGGGGATTCGCCGTGACTTCCTCGCCAAAGACCCTCAGGACTGGCCAACGGACGAGTCGTGGACCGAAGGCAAGAAGCTTGTGGACGGCCTACGCGTGGTTAATGACTGTGCTGAACGGGGAGTTGCTCTTATAAAAGACTACATCACGAACCCTCTCACAAGAGACGAAGAGCAGCTCCAGCTTCTTCTGAAGGTGGTGAAAGACCACAGAGAGAGGCTGCCTACTTTAAATAGGAAACATGAGATTCTAAATCTGTAAGGGCCTTAAATTAGCTCTCATATCATAAAGTTTAACTCTGTCTGTGATTGAACAATATTTGAACAATGAGCCCCAGTCCGAAAATACTTAGTACAAAAGTTATTGTTTGTTTATATGTCTGTGATTTAAAATAAGATTTATTTCATTCATGCGGAAAAAATATCTTGGTTTTCGCCATTTTTATTTCGGGGGCCTTATGATAAATGTGATATTATGTATAAAATAAATATTTGTAGCTAAAACTTAGTACTTCTGAAACAATGAGGCGGTGAAAATCTGACCGTGACTTACTTTTCTGGACCCAGCCTCGCGTATTGGTGACTTCTTGTTGATGCCTATCGTAAGCCGTCTCGACATTGGACTTTCTGTTAATTTTCTGGTATTCTCTTAAAAAATTGGAACTGTGTTTTCTCTAGTTCTGTTCGTTCTAAAGCGGGGGACCCATCGGCAAGGGTTAGAATGGTAAGGGAGGAGTGTCTTGATGTCCGAAGAACCCAAGTGGGTGGCGTGGAAGCGGTGGAAAGCGTTACAGTGGCGGAGAAGGGCGAAAAAACGGCAGTTTTACTGAAATGCGCAAATTTCCGGCCGCCCGGGCGGCACCAATACTCATCTGGAAAGCTCCTATGACCGCCATCCTACGTTTTTTGTGATTCTCTTTCGTTCTAAACCAACACCGGACCCTAATTCGAACCCCCTGTACCATATTTTGCATTTTTTAGATTTTTTTAAAGAAAAAAAAAATTGTTTTGGTCGATTATGCGGACTTTTAAGGGGTCGGGATGGGTCGGTTTTGTGCAGGAAGGGAGCCCAAACATGCTAAGAGTTCAAGTGAGTAGCGGGAGGAGGGGAGGGTGAACCCCCGCGGGAGCAATCGGGCGGAATGAACGAAAAAACGGCATTTTTCGCTTTTTTGCCGATGCGCGACCTCTAAATTCTGTCCGAGACACCTCCGCGAAAGAATTTAGTCTTTTTTTAACAAAAGGAACACTTTCCCTGGGTGTGCGGATGAGTAACAGAACATCGACTTCTTTCTGGGACAGTCTACGGGACGGCACTTATGCAAATAAACAAACTAAAGAGCAAAGGGGTTCTCAAATAGGTACTGAGATAGTTTTTTAACATTCTAGAATGATTGAAACCCTTCCGGGGTGTCAACAGAGGAAAATATAGAAACTAAATGTGAGAATGGTTTACGTGTTTCCTTCCCCTCTTCCCCCTCCCCCGTCACAGGAGAACAGGTCAGTGCACTGAGTGTAGTTGTGGATTGTAAATAGAATGTTTTCTTTGCCTTTGTGTGCATCTACTGATTTTATTCTCTCTGGTACTATCCTAATTTTTAAATTTCATAGTAAATAAAATCAGGAAAATGCATGAATAACTTCTGTTGAAATTAGAAGACATGTTAATTGTCTTGGTTTGTCTCGGGGAAATGACACTCTATTGCAATGCTGCAAGCTAACATAAATATTCTAGTACTTACATCTATTGATTAAAAGAATCCATAAATAGATGTATTTTGTGCAATAAATAATCCATATATTTAGTGCTAACAGATTTTGAACTGATATTGGGTTCAATGAGACGATTCAGGTTTTGAGCGGTGGGTGACTTGGTAATTGCTTTTAATGGGACGATTCCTTTAACTTCACCAAAGCTTGTGTCCGACAGCTGGAACCAAGTATTGGTAATGATTTAAAAGCTGGCTTTCTTAATGTAAGCCCAATGTTAATGCTACACTGTATTCTTTTACTCTAAAGATAAAATATCACGAGGCATGAATAAGGTAAATTAAGTTGGCGTATTGAGCAACAAGTGGCCTCTGCATTTGACTTCATGAGACGATTCACTGAATTTGACACAACTTGTTCTCCGTCAAATGCTTCAGATCAGCCTGCCCTAAACTGAGTCACTTAATGAAAACTATGATTACATTCCATTCTATATTGTTTATTTCACTGGTTTTAAATGAAAGAATGACAAAAGGCTTCTCAAATATAACTAATAAATTTGTGAATTCATTAGTTTGAAGAAAAAGATGTATCGAATAGTGAGTCAAGCAGACGAGTAGCTAATTAAGCGATTCAATGCTGGCAATGGAATGTTACTCGACTGAAGGAATCGCATTGGTGTGGCATTAGGGTATTGGTGACGACAAAGGGTGATCCATGAAGACCAACCAAGACCCATTCTTTACCGATTATTGATCAATTTGATATCGATATTTTTCAATCGAATCTCATATTGATTCTTGGAGTTTTTCGAGTGCTGATTATGAAAACCCCTTCCATTTCTACTCCAGACTTATATTTTCATCTCAAATTAGGTCATTTCGGACCAAAATTTTCAGGTCGAGTTTTATATTGTTTCCTGCAGTGTTTGATGAGCTGAACTCAAAAATAACTTCCAAATTTTTCCCAGACTCACGCTTTACCTAATTTTGACCAAATTTGGACCAAAATTTTTTAATTGAGTTTGATGTTGATCCCAACAGTTTTTTGTGTGCTGATAACGAAAATCACCTCCATTTCGACTCCAGACTTATATTTTCATCCCAAATTAGGTCATTTTGGACCAAAATTTTCAAATCAAGTTTTTTATTGTTTCCTGTAGTTTTTGGTGCGCTGAACTCAAAAATGACTTCCAAATTTTTCCCAGACTCACCCATTACCGAATTTGGACCAAGTTTGGACCAAAATTTTGGAATCGAGTTTGACGTTGATCCCAACAGTTTTTTTTGTGTGCTGATAACAAAAATCACTCCCATTTATACCCCAGACCTACATTTCACTCAATATGAGCCCACAAGCTGCAGTCCGAAGTGCACAAATTCGCATCGCTCAGCCACACTACGCGCCCACACAAAACGGCGCGTACCCCTAGTGTAGTATGTAGAAGTTATGCTTACACTGTGTTCTGAGAAGTTTGAGAAATCAAAGTGCACAAAATCCTTGCGACCTGAAATACAAGTTAATCCGTACCGTAGAACGGGGTAATATGAGACAAATTTCGAGGTTTTTTTATAAATTTCCCCCTTTTAATTTCAACTTGAGGTGCTGAGGTGTTCATCACTTGTTCATTCACCCTTTGGCTACACTCCCTCCAAATTTCAGATTTTTAGGTGCAGTAGGGACCTTTCAATAACCCTCGGAATGCCGTCCCATATTTCTCTGCAATGTGGGGTAATATGAGACAAAAGAGAAAAATGGTAAAGAAGTATGGAAAATTAACTCATTTAGGCGGGTTTGGAGCTTTTTAAGTTCTTTTCATTCATTTTTAAGATGATTGGGGACCATAATGAAGAAGAGATAAAACCTGGAGGGAAGAAAAACGGGTGTCACTAAAGAGAGCTGAAAAATTTCTAAGAAGTCATGAGTTGTGCCTGTCACATGAAAATACTAATCGAAGAGTATAGATGCCGGTCAGGTAGTAAACCCAATTCGTGTTAAAATCATTATTACTTGAAATTAATAACAGTGGAGTATGTTTGGCCTCATGTTTGAAACGAAAAGAGGTGTCTCTATTTTCCATGCAAGGTAACAAAATTGTACTCCATCTGGAACAGGCGGCCCGGGAGTAGACATAACAGAACCAAATTTTGTCCTGATTATGTTGACATGATTGTCTACAGATTTAAACCTCGTTCGGACGAGAACCCGAGTTCCAACCGAGGTTTCTGGGGAGGTTTTTACGAACTTGTCAGAATTTAGAGGATTTTCGTTTGGTTCTTAATAATCCTGGCGAGTCTCCGATTGCCTTCGTGCGTTTCCTGTAAGCTGCCAAGACCTCCTAGATCACGAAAAAAAAATTCACGATGGTCTTCTGAACAACTGCTTGAGAGCAACACGACAAAAACCAGAAAAAGGGCGCTTTGTCTCGATTTTCCTTCATGTCTCATATTACCCCGTTCTACGGTACCAAGCAGTCGGAGAGTGTAGTCATTCCAGTCACCCCAGTCTAATTCATCAAAGTTCAAGATGATCAAGAGTCAGTCCAGTCTAAAGTCTAGTAGACAACCTAAGTCAATCTAAGCAAGCAATACAACGGGGGCCAAGGCGGCCTTGACCTCCACGATGCACTACTTAGATGTCAGGCCCTGTTTGCCATGCGCTGGTGGACGATAAAGCAGGTGGCACCACAATCATTCTCAGGAGAATGTCTCAACAAGTGGTCGGTCGAGCTTGAACGAATTCCAGACATTCCCAGGGCGTCTGACCAGTACAGGCACTACGCGAACATAGACAAAAAGCTGCGCCGGGTGACAACCTGTGGCCAGGCGAATCAGGCGTGGAGCGGGCTGAAAGAAACACTGAGGCAAATCAAAGGGGCCACTCCTTTCACGTTGGCGCAGGACTTCCTTTTCCGCCTGGACGAGAAGACCCCAGACAAGCAGGTACACAACACTGTAATTTGGCTGGCCGGTAGCACCCTGGCCGCGGTATCCAGTGACACCCCTGCACCACCCCTAAAAGCTATTAAGCAATAAGGGAAGGTGGGGTACCATGTGACACGGCCACCATGTGACATTGGCTTTTTCTCCCAAACGGCTCGCTGTCCAACAGCGGTAAGAAGACTCAAAGGAAGGTATCAAGAAGGGGCATCGACGTCCAACAGGCCGTGACTGTGCGTCGTACAGGGCGGAAATCGAAGACACGAGAAATTAAAACCCCCCCAAAACAGGTAATTGGAACTTTTTTCCATTTCACGCCGCGTCCGCTTTTCACCTTATAAACGCACATAAACGGCCTATGCCTTGCAGGATGTTCTCCTTTGATGTTTTAAGCGTAAAATGAGCTTGGGCTCGCTTCTCTACCACAAGGGATAAGGGCGCAGTTGTTAATTCCTCGAAAGCCACCCCTTCGGTCACGATGTGACACTCGATGTGGGGCACGATGTGACACCTTCTCTAATCCGCGATTTTCCTGTTTTCCCCAATAAATCCTGCTTTTGTGTGTCGTTGGCGTGGGATATTACACTAACCCTTGTGTCAATGTGTTTGAGAG